GGTGGTGTGCGATAGGGTAGTGGTTGATGAGAAAGGTTGTTGACCAGGGCGCCGGGCGTTCGACCTATTCGACCAAGTAACCTGCTCGACGAGATTTTGTGGGGGTGAACATCGTCGAAGTCGCGATGGTGAAGGTGACCTTGGGCTGGTATCCTGAGGTCAACGTGGAGCCTCTGGCGCAAATGTCGGCATGTGGCCGACCTGGCACCTGCCCGATGATAGAGTACGTGCTCGATCGCGGCGCACCTGCAAAGTAGGTGTGCACATGCGCTACTGTCACCTGCGGTTGCAACGTTGGCAGACCGTTTTGCTGCAACGTGTCAACAGAAGTTGGGTGTTGGCCTCATCCTCGCTTAGGCGGAGCCGACTTCGTGGATGAGTGTGCGAGAAGTGCAACCGACCGTCTGTAGTAAGCAACACCGACTTGGGCAAGCAGGTTGACGGGTTTGGTCGACCTGCACAATGCCACTGCGAAGGCGCCGACGACGGGAAGCTGGCGGCCGACTTCTTGCTGGTGGTCGACGAAGGGAGTCATCGACTTGGGGGACACCGACTTGTGGGCGCTGACCTGGGGAAGCTGACTTGGTGCAGTCGGCGAACAACCATTCTGGTCGACCAGGAGTTGGTCGACTTGGGGAGTGGCACACTTAGTGAAGTCGGCTGGTGGTGGTCTACTGGATGGTCGACGGGCACGTACAACAGTTGGTCGACTTCTACCGAGCAAGTCGACGACGACTTGGTGGTGTCCCAGTTGACCAAGTTACCAGGGAGAAGAATTCCTGCAGAGTGCGTGATCGTCGCCCAGGTGGTATATGGCGAAGTCGACCTCGAAGGTGGTATTCCGAGGTCTACGTGGTTGATCACGCGTAGTCAACGGCACGTGGTCGATTTGGCGTCTGCGTTGTGCACGTAACGGTGCACGTTGCACCAGCCGACTATGAGCACCTGCGAAGTAGGTACGCTGCATTCATGTGGGTGCAACGCTGGACAGACGCCTTGCTGCAGCGTTGGCACGCCATCGACTTGTAGTGTTGGCGAGCCACCTTTCTGCAGTGCTGGAGTGGTGCGGACTTTGCAGCCGCTGGAACGCGGTTGACCATGCTGCACTGAACGTCGATCTGCTTGCATGCTAGGAAGACTTGCTTCTGATGTAGTCAGCTTTGCCAATGTTGTTGCTATAATTGCTCAAAACTTTTGTTAGTGAAGCTCTTGTCAATTCTCCCCGTGAGTGCGTGCATAGAGAGAATACGAGCAAACGCTAAGGAACGCAACAATCACGATTGGTGCACGCCGATTGGTGCACGCCGCCGGAAACCAACGTCGAGCTGTGTGCGGAGTTTCGCACCGCTCACCTGCTTAGCTTCGTGGTCATCTTATGGTGTTGCTCGCCAATGGTGCACATCACCCAGAAGCCGTGCCGAAGTTGACTGGATGCCGGCCACCAGGCGTTCATCACGTCGACTTACCAGGCTACAGACAACCTGTACATCGGCCATTTGGAGGAGCAGCTGACGCACCTGAGGATGGGTGAGTAGGAGCCGGCAACAAACTACAGCAACCGAGCTCGACGGATCCTGGCCAACATGAGAATGGCCGGCGTCGTATATCAGTCACGTCGTCAAGGGCTTGCCGAGCGGCTCCAACCTCATGCGGTGAATGATGGTGATGCCCGGCAAGCGGAAGTCGCTTAACGATGACACTCTGACATCGCACAACATCGAGGATGAGGCAATGCAGGAAGCCGAGAGGTCCACGGAGCTCCTGCCGCAGGCTAACTACGTCGCCCCAACAAAGCAAGGAAGTCGGTCAGGGCAGCGCTGTAAGCCTGGTGGCGATGATAGCGGATATGGAAAGCCGGCAAAGGACGCTGACAAGGCAAAGTCGGCTATAGATAGCGGCCGTGGAGGAAGAGGTTGACGACAGGAGTGCTGGCTGTGCGTGACCCTGACCACCTCTCTTTCGAGTCTCCCGACCGCGAGGACTCCGATGAAAATGACACCAAGTGAGGCCGAGGCAGGTCAGCCGATCGTTGTCCTCGATGGGAGAGCAAGCCGCGCAAGGAGAACCAGCCGACGAAGTCAACGATGTCGGCGAAGGACGCCGACTCCTCCTCTAGAGGCAAGGGCGAGGCGACGGCGAGGCATCGTGCTCGCTGGTCGGCGTCGTGGAGCTGACTGTCTTGCTGGCGCTGGAGGCTGGCGAGGACTTCAAGGCAGCGGTGGCAGCCGTGCAGGCAAACCCGGCGGTGATTTTGCTCGACAGCAGCTGCTCGCACCACCTAATGGGGACGAAGGAGGCCTTCGTCGACTTGGGGCCGAGTGGTGCCGTAAAGCACGTGCGCGGCTTCAATGGGGCGTTGCAGACTGTCCAAGGCCTCAGTACCATTGTTCTACAAGGGGAGGCAGGAAAGCGGGTGTTCATCCTCGACGTGCTATACGTCTCGGGCATGTAGGCGAACCTGCTGTCGGCCGGCCAGCTCTAGGACACCGGCGTGAAGCTGCAGGAAGACGGCGACGAGATGCTGCGTGTCTCGGTCGGGCTAAGTACACCAGCCGGATCCTCTGCATCGACATACGACCTTGCACGCCGGCGTCAACGTTGGCCACAATGAAGGCGGTGGCCTTGCGTAGACCGCAACAGCGACGAAGTCGACACCGGACAGATGGCACATGAGGTTCGCGCATGTCGGTATCGACACGATCCGGAGTTTGGCGAAGCACGAGGTCGCCACCGGCCTGGACATCAAACCGCCGGCCAGCACCGACTCTTCGTATGTCTCGTGCGTCGACGAGAAGTTGGCGCGGCACACCTTTCCCGACAAGGGTTCGGACGCAGACGACGGCCAGGTCGTCGTTCACATCGACTTGTACGAGCCGTTCTGAATGGCCACCAAGGACGGTAGCCTCTACTTCTTGCTGCTGAAGGACCGCAAGACCCGCTATGTGTGGGTGAGGCCGGTCTTCCAGAAGTCCACGTGCTGCGGGAGTTCGAGAAGTGGCTGCTGGTGGCTGAGCGGCAGACGAAGAAGTCGGTGCTGATGATGCGCTCTGACCGCGGAGAGGAGTTCCTCGGGAAGCAGTTTATCGACTTCGTGAACGGTAAGGGCATCGTCCACGTCTTGACTTGCCAATACACTCCGCAGCAGAACAGCATGGCGGAGCTGGAGATGCGGACGGTGGTCGAGTCGGTGCGGACAATGCTGCTGCACATAGGTGTGCAGCACCACTGGTGGCACCTTGGCCTGCCGCAGGACGTCCGGGTGCGCAACTGCTTGGAGAGGTTGACGCTGCCACCGGGGACGACGTCGTATCAGCTGCTGACCGGCAAGAAGCCCGACTTGATGCTAGCTTGTGTGTGGGACTGCATGGTGCAGCTGCTGGTGCCCGAGCAGCAGCTTGGCGGTAAGCTGGAGGCGAAGGCCAGGTGGGGGCTTCACCTCGGCGTGTCGGAGGAAAGCAAGGGCTGGGAGGTCCTCGACCTCGCCAACAACAAGGTGGTCACCACGTCGGATGTGGTGTTTTACGAGACGATGTCGCTGGAAGTGTGGAAGTCGGATCACGGGCCATCGTCGAGGCGGACGCAGGCTACCCCGCCAACCGACACCTCGACGACGACACTCCCATTGCTCGCTGAGGTAGGCGAGCCTGTTGTTGAGGACATCGAGGTGTCCTCCCTCCTCCCCCTGCTCCTATTGCCTCACCCATAGTAGCCGACCTGCATGAGCTGACGACGGCGTCGGCCTACGGTGATGAGGGGAGTGTCACGATATATATTTCATATACATTTATAACTGCCTGTAGCAGCTTTAGTGTAGTTATTTTCCCTTGGTGTTGGTGGTGCACCTTTGGTTTGAACTATATGTTGTGTTGTTTTCGCATTAGTGAACAATAATTCTCGATTCTCTCCTGGCACAACCATCTCGACACCCGCTTGGCCTAGGCCCCTAAGCCGCGGCCCTTAGTATACCCTGGTTTCTAGTAAAGTTGCTATTTGTGACAGGGAGCAGTGGGGCGTCGCCTGTGGCGCTAGCCAGTGGCATCGCTCGCGGCCGACGTGACGTCAAGCAAGTTGGAGTGGAAGCAGAGTTGATGAAGATAGGGGAGCATGTCGCGATATATATTTATATATATTTATTACTGCCTATAGCTTTAGCTTTAGTGTAGTTATGTTTCCTTGCTATTGGTGGTGCACCTTTGCTAGTTTGCTATATGTACCTTGTGTGCTATAGTGAACAACACACATTCTTGATTCTCCTTGGCACAAACTCCTCGACACCCGCTTGGCCTAGGCTACTATGCCTAGGCCCCTAGTTAAACCCGGTTCCTAAGTTAAGTTAGTCTTGTAACATGGTATTGAGCGATTCAGATCCTGACCTAAGTTAATGGGCCCACCCATTCGCGGCACGGCGCTCGCTGCGACGGGCGCAGCGGCGAGCTGGCCGCGTTTCCCTCGTCACCAGCCCGTCGTTTTTTTTTTCCCTCGTCGCCTACCCGCCGCCAGCCCGTCGCGTTTTCCCCCGTCGCCAGCCCGTCGCGTTTCCCTCGTCGTCAGCCCGTTGCGTTTCCTCTGCCCGCGCCTACGCCTGCTGCTGAGTTTGCGCGAGAGTGGGGAAGGAGGGGGGGGTGGGGGGGGGGGGGGGGGGGGGGGCATCGGGAATGAAGGGGACGGCGTCCGTGGTGGTCGTTGCGGCCCTTCCCCCCCCGTCCCGTTTTCTTCCCTCCCGTCGCCTCGCTCCGCCCGTCGCATTCCCCCGGCCCCCTGCCCGTCACCCCCCCCGTCGGGACTGTTCGCGTGTGCAGCGGCGGTCGCTGTGGGTGGGAGAGGGAGGAGGGGAAGGGATTGGCGTCGGAACGAAGTGGGGGGGAGAGGGAAAGGGGGAAGGGAGTGGCGGCGGAATGCTGTGGGGGAGAGAGGAAAGGGGGAAAGGGAGTGGCGGCGGAACACCAGCAATCACCTCCAGCGCACCGGCGATCGCACCAGCGCTTGCGCGCCTCCTACCGTCAGATCCCGCCCGGCCTGTAGCCCGTCTGCAGCTCGTCCCACCCATCGCGCCCCATCAGCACTAGGCACCAGCGCCAGCCACCAGCACTAGGAACCAGCACCAGTGCCAGCCGCCAGCACCAGGAACCAGCACCAGCGCCAGCCGCCAGCACCAGGAACCAGCACCAGCGCCAGCCGCCAGCACTAGGAACCAGCACCAGCACCAGCCGCCAGCACCAGGAACCAGCACCAGCGCCAGCCGCCAGCACCAGGAACCAGCACCAGTGCCAGCCGCCAGCACCAGGAACCAGCACCAGTGCCAGCCGCCAGCACCAGGAACCAGCACCAGCACCAGCCGCCAGCACCAGGAACCAGCACCAGCCGCCAGCACCAGGAACCAGCACCAGCGCCAGCCGCCAGCACCAGGAACTAGCACCAGCACCAGCCGCCAGCACCAGGAACCAGCCCAGCGCTAGCCGCCAGCACCAGGAACCAGCACCAGCGCTAGCCGCCAGCACCAGGAACCAGCACCAGCGCCAGCACCAGGAACCAGCACCAGCACCAGCCGGCAGCACCAGCGGGGTTGAGTGGGCGGGTAAGGGGGTGGAAGAAGTAAGTCGGGCATTTGCAGCCGTTGCCTGTCGCAGGCACGCCCCCGGAGGTGCTGAGCGGTGCTGTCCTGCTGCTTGTTGCAGCCACAGCGCCTGCTCTCCCGCCCACCTGCCGGGTCCTGCACCTGACGCTGCTGCATCTGCCATGGCTGAGGTCACTGTGGCTCTATCTGCCATCACTGCAACTACTGCCTGTAGCAGGCACGCCCCCGGAGGTGCTGAGTCGCGCTGTCTAGCTGCTCGTTGCAGCCACGGCACTTGCTCTCACGCCCACCTCTCGGGTCCTGCACTTGCCGTTATTGCATTTACCATGGCTGATCAGTGTTGCTGTTTCCCTTGCTTCTTCTACCTCTTGCCCAGGTTCCGGGGGTGTGACTTGCTCTAGTTATGTGCTGCAGGCAGTTAAGGGAGTGTGTCACAATATATATTTATATATGTTTATAACTGCCTGTAGCTTTAGCTTTAGTGTAGTTATGTTTCCTTGCTGTTGGTGGTGCACCTTTGCTAGTTTGCTATATGTACCTTATGTGCTGTAGTGAACAACACACATTCTCGATTCTCCTTGGCTTAAACTCCTCGACACCCGCTTGGCCTAGGCTACTAAGCCTAGGCCCCTAGTTAAACCGGGTTCCCAAGTAAAGTTTGTCTTGTAACAGAGCAGAAGGCGGTGGAGTCGACGCCAACAAAGGGGGAGTTAGCAAAGCAGGCGTTACCGGAGAAGCTGCTGATAGGGGAGCAGCCTGCAGAGAATCTGACAAAGGAGCCGTCGGCGACCCGCCAGTTGGCAGGGGAGCCGACGACAAGGGAGAAGTCGGCAGAGCAACTGACTTTGGAGCAGCAGTCCGACGAGCACGGAGAAGATAGCAACGATGAAAGTGAGCGGTCGGAGGACGCCGATAGCGATGTGGTAGATGTCCCACCTGGACTGCGGCGTTCGGGCCGATTTAGGGGGCCGCCGGAGCGGCTGACCTATCAAGTGTGCCTCCTGCCGGCCGCCTACACCACTCTGTACGACGATGCGGACGCCGACGACGACCCGCCGGAGCTCGACCGTGACATGCACGCCGACCCCGATACCGCTGGAACATCGCGACAATGATGGTGAAGGAGGCGCTAGCGAGTTGGAAGGGCAAGGCGGTGAAGGCCGCCATGGACGAGGAGATCCGCAGCCTCATCGCCAACGGCACGTGGGTGCTGGTCAAGCGGCCGCCCGGGGTGAACATCATAAAGAACTGTTGGGTAAACTGTTAAGTATCACATCGATGACACCGTCGAGCGTGAGAAGGCGGGGCTGGTCGTGAAGGGCTTCACACAGGATTATGGCACCAACTACGATGAGACGTACGCGCCGGTCAGCAGCTACGTCATGTTGAGGATTTTCCTCAGCATCGTCGTCGTCCTCAACCTCAACCTGATGCAGCTCGACATGAAGAACGCCTTCCTGCAGAGCAAGCTCGACCGGGCGCTGTAGATGTACTACCCAGACTACTACACCGACGGGACCAGCCTGGTGTGCAAGCTGCTCGAGAGCCTCTACGGGCTGAACCATTCGCAGCTGCTATGGTACAGGGCACTCGGCGCCGCACTAATTAACGCCAACTAGAAGAAGAGCTAGGTCGACGAGGCACTTTACTTCAAGGTCGGCGACAACGGAGTGACCTGCTGGGTACTGGTCTACGTTGACGACCTTCTCGCCGCCAGCAGCAGCCTCGCGATGCTGAACGAGCTAAAGGAGCTGCTGGAGGCCGCCTTTGAGCTGCGCGAGATCTCGCCGATCGTGAAGTACCTCGGGCTGGAGATCGTGCGTGACAGGCTGGCGAGGAATCTGTGGCTCCGCCAGTAGAGCTACATTGATAAGCGATGCCGGCGCTTCATTGACGAGGAGCAGGGTGGTCGGATTCCGAAGATGTCGGTCTCCGTCGACGCCTACGCTGAGCTGATGTTCGACGATGAGGAGGCGCAGGAGCATGAGGAGGAGTACCGGTAGAAGGTCGGCTTACTTCAGTTCACAGCGACAATAACGAGGCTGGACATCGCCTTCACCTGCAGCAATCTGGGGAGCAGCCATACGGTGAGGAGTGACCAGCACTGGCGCGAGGTCGACCGCTGCCTCGCCTACCTCGCCGACACCCGTAACACCGCCCTGGAGTTTGGCGGTGGACTAGAGTCGCTGAAGTTGGTCGGCTACATGGACGCCAACGATGCTGTCGACAAGCAGATTCGGACGAGCACGGGTGGCTACGTGTTCGTCTTCGGAGGGGCTGCCGTCCCTTGGTCGAGCAAGTGGATCAAGTGCGCGACATTGTCGTCGACCGAATCAGGGTATGTCGCGGCCACAGAAGCCGGCAAAGTGGGATGTTGACTTCACTTCCTCCTTGCAGAGTTCCAGCTGCTGGACGCTGGGACGCCGACGGTCCTTCGTGTGGACAACAAGCTGGCCATCACGCTCGCCGAGGGCTTGGGGCTAACGGGCAACCTCAAGCACATGGAGAGGCGATATGCCTGGCTGCAGCACATGGTGAAGCGCGGAAAGTTCACACTGAAGTACATCCCGACCACCGAGCAGCCGGCCGGCAACCTGACGAAGGCGCTGCACTTTCTGGCCTTCAACCGTTGCTCTGTCGCAATCGGCCAAGTGCGCGTGGCCGTCATTGGTGACGGTGACGACAATGTGAATCAGTAGGTGCTGTGCCGTTTTGCACGGATGGTGCAGTGTCCGGCGTGCTGTGTGTTGTGTGCAAGCTGACGACGACGAGCTTTTCTCCGTGTAGTTTTGCTGTGTGAACGGGGAGCCCAAGTGTGAACGCGGCAGGGGAGTGTCAACGAGAGTTGGGTGTTGGGTGTTGGGCGGAGCCGACTTCGTGGTCGGGTGTGCGGGAAGTGCAGCCGACTGTCTGCAGTGGGCAATGCCAACTTGGGCGAGCAGGTCGACGGGCTTGGTCGACCTGCACGATGCCACTGCGAAGCCGCCAGCGACGGGAAGCCGGCAGCCAAAGGGAGGCGACTAGGTGAAGCTTACTTGGTGCAGTCGGCAAACAGCCAATCTGGTCGACCTGAAGTTGGTCGACTTGGGGATTCCAGACTTGGTGAAGTCGGCTGGTGGTCGTCGACCTGGATGGTCGACCGGCACATACAGCAGTTGGTCGACTTCTGCCGAGCAAGTCGACGACGACTTGGTGGCGTCTCTGTCGACCAAGTTACCAGGGTGACGAAGTCCTGCGAAGTCGACATTGAGGTGGTATCCCGAGGTTGAAGTGACTGATCACGCGTAGTCAACGGCACGTGGTCGACTTGGCGTCTGCGTTGTGCACGTGACGGTGCACGTCGCACCAACCGACTACGAGCACTTGCGAAGTAGGTGCGCTGTAGTCATGCGGGTGCAACGCTGGACAACCAACTTGCTGCAGCATTGGCACGCCGTCGACTTGCAGCATTGGCGAGCTACCTTTCTGTAGTGCTGGAGTGGTGCGGACTTTGCAGCGCTGGAACGCGGTCGACCATGCCGTGCCGGAAGTCGACCTGCTTGCATGCTGGGCAAACTTGCTTCTGATGTAGTCAGCTTTGCCAATGTTGTTGCTATAATTGTTCACAACTTTTGTTGGTGAAACTCTTGCCAATTCTCCCCGTGAGTGCGTGCGTAGAGAGAATACGAGCAAACGCTAAGGAACGCCATGATCACTCTCACAACCGTGCCTCCCCCATGGTCTAGCTCCCGTTCTAAACGTCATCTGGCACAACGTTGGCAAGCCGCCTTGGTGCGGCATTGGCGAGTCGCAGACTTGCTCTACTGGCGGATCGCTCATCTGCAATGCTGGCACGGTGCCTCTACGCAACACTGGCAGATGTCGACCTTGCTGCACTGGCGGTCGACCAGCTTGCCTGCTAGGTTGCTAGGCTCTGATGTAGTCATTGTAACCATTGCTTGCTCAACCATTCTGTAATGCAACTTTCCGCAGTGAAACTTTTGCCAAATCTTGGTGTGACGCACAAGTCCTAGAGAACGCTGAGGAACGCCACGATCACTCATAGAACCGTGCCTTCACCCCTAGACTAGCTCCCATCCTTGTAGAGTGTATCTCCGAATGGTATGGTGAGCGTGGATCGAATGCGCGAGGTACCGCGTCGACTAATCACGTACCTAAGTCGTTCGTAGGCCGGTTGCCATCCTAGTCGCCATGGTAGGCCAAGAGCCAAGAGCAGACGTAGCAGATAACTTGCAGACGAGGGAGGCTGATGCGAGGAGACGTTACGAGGCTGGCGAGTTCGGGCCGAAGCTTCCCTTGGAGATGTCCTCTTCGAAAACCGCACGCAGTGGGCGAAGGAGCATCCTTCTCGACCTGCCTCTCCTCGAGCGGTACGCAACAAATGCGGCATCGACGTGGAGGTTGAGGGCAGTCATCAAGTTGATGGCAGTGAGGGCACGAAGAAGAGAGGAGTGATCAGGTTCGCTGACGTGGACATCGGCGGGATGCAGGCGCGAGTGCAGCGGTCGACGGCGGCTGCATGCAGTTCGCGTGCCGATACCGGACGAGGATGACGTCGAGCTGCACGGGGAATTCCATTCCGCTCACCTGCTGACCTTCATGGTCATCTCGAAGTGCTGCTTGTTGATGGTGCAGATAGCACTGAAGTCGTGTCAACTTCGACCGGACGCTGGCCACCAGGCGTGGCGGTTCATCCTGTTGATGTACCAGGCGACGGACGACCTGTACATCGGTCAACTGGAGAAGCAGCTGACTCACCTCATGATGGGCGAGAAGGAGTCAGCAACGGACTACTGCAACCAAGCTCGATGGATTTTCGCCAACATCCTAATGGCGGGCATCGACTACTTGATGGCGTTGTACATCACGCATGATGTCAAGGGCCTACCGAGCGGCTATAACCTGAAGCGATGAATGATGGTGATGCCCGACATGACGGAGTCGCTCAGCAAGGACACACTCACCAGCCACATCATCAAGGATGAGGCGATCCAAGAGGTAGAGCGGCTCACAGAGCTCCTTCCGCAGGC